TTTGGCCACTTCTGCTTTGTCTTAATGTAATTCTGTTGTATTTTTTTCAAATGTGATTCCAGCCACTTCTGCTTTGGCCACTTCCACTTAAGCTTAATGTAATTCCGATTTTTCAAATGTTCGTTTACACCTCATACGATTCTCTGGTAGATGAGCCACGGCTGACTGGGTCTGCTGGATAAAACTTTTTCTAAGAATCGAGTCTAGCTGTCTGAACCGAGTAGGATTATCGTGTCCTTGATGACGGAGTATCGACATCAATGTTTTTTTTAATCAAGCGTAAACGTTTAGAGGAGTTTCCACCTCGGACAGAACAGAGTAAAGGCTCGGAGCAACAGGTGGGAGAAGAAGTGCTCTAAGACCACCTCCTTTATACCGTCGCTCTGTTCTTGCAGGAGTCGCCACAGCGAGTGAACTCGCAGAACAGATTAGGAAACTGTTTAATGCTGAAGAAACCTGGGTGTGAACCCAAAGCGTCAGGTTTACAGGACCACGGCACTGACTGAGCTACTGCAGCATTTTATTAACTTTTCCACCAGAACTCTGTGATCAAGAAGACAATTCAAACATGCAACATGTAAAAAAAGAAATGCTTCATCAACAAATTAGGTGAAGGCACCTGCAGAACTTTTTTTTTATGACCAAATTTTAGCCTAAATATCTGAGGGATTCTTATTAAGTATTAAACATTTGAAATAAAAAGCAACCGTTAAACGACCTGACTGATGACTTCCTGCTTTGTTGCTGTGATCGTAGCTCCCTCATAATGATGCTTTTCCCAAACTGCTGAAACGTTTTCAAGTCCTAAATTTATAATCTGGTGAAATTTCAGGTCAGCTGTCAGATTCAATTTGAACTTTAGCGCCTCTCTCCGACTAAACAGTTGAATTAAATATTGACTTTAACCCTGGAGAATGCAAATTATTTAATTATTTATGACAGCAAAACCGCTCTCTGTAAAGCCCTTTGAACATCAGTTCCTGATCTAAGTGATGTATAATAATCTACAGGTTTGTTCCTCCAGGATTAAAATTCACATTTAAATCAAACGGCTGAACATCACCTGGACAAACTGATCAAAGGACGTCAGAGATTCGAGCAGTGTTTAACGTGAAAGGAGGTTTACTCTTTGAAGACGTGCGCACCGTTCACACATCGTGCATCATCCACGTGAGAGCTTTCATACTAAGAGCAGCAGCATGTGCATCATAGAGGATCCAAACATGCATTAAACAGAACGGGACCAGGGATCAAAGAACCGCTGGCAGAGAGAAATCACATTCACGCTGCAGGAGAACAACGAAGCAGCTGAGGAGAACCGAGCAAAGCTGCCTACCTGGTGCTGTTGTCCAGCAGAGAGACAGGGGCTGGACACACACCGAGGACAGCAGTGACCCGGCTGGATCACCAAGTTCTCACGCTGAGGGAAAACAATAACTTTGTGATTATCTATATGTGATTAAAGCATGTTCATATAACCGAATTGTTTACAGCTGGACGTTTTAACAAAAAAGTACGAAACAGTACCTCTAATTTTAAACTCTTAGTGACGACGAGATAACCTGTTTGTCAAGGAATTCATATCACCCGCTGACTTGCATGCAAATGTTTTAATAAAATGTCCTCTGAGTACGTGTTGAGGATGACTGTCAGCTACTACCACACTAAAGCCCTGGTTACATGAGAACGACCAGTTTGCCAATATTTATTGGGGCGAATAAACGAGAAAAACAGACGTGTTAACATGGATTCGCTGTAGATTTCCATGCCAGGCAGGGTTGCCAGATAAGAAATGACGAACTATTGTACTGTCACTTTGATTTTGACCAAAACTGTCAAACGTGCTGAGTGGGGGGCGGGGGGGGGGGGTGTTTGGTGAACATGTGTACAGAAAAGGAGGGTGTAGAAAAATGCATTTATGTTTATCTGGCAACCCTGATGCCAGGCTCAGCTGCATGTATCTCACAATCAGAAAGATCACAGTTACATCCAAACTGGGGAATACACAAATGCTTCTATGGACCTAGGATGTTGTTGGTTTGACCTTACATGCTGAAAAAGGACTCTGCTCTCTGCTATTTATTGTAACTGTTAAAGCAGAAAAAACTTTTGACAGCAACCACCTGTGGAGCATACGTGCAATTTCACACCTGTGGTATATTTAACATTTAACAAACAAATGAGATATTTTGCCAAAAGAGTCGACAAGTCAATGTAGCTATAAACCCATCTTAAAGTACCATTGAAACTGAGGTTTAATCTTTTAATAAAAGTTTATTCTGGTTCTAAACCGTTCTTAGATCATCAGTTTATTCGTGTCTCATTAAGTTCTCACTCCTCGTGCTGTTTTGTGTATTTTAGCTCGAAGAACCTTTTTATCCTCCTTCTGAACTCAGGTAATAGAACCGAGAGAGGTTTTACAATAAAATAAAACCTTTCGCTAAAGTGTCGGTTATTTGAGGTACACACCGGTTTGCAGGCCACCTGCTGACACTCCACCGCTGAACACTGGACCCTCCCGCTGCTGCAGGAACATCTGGAGCAAAAGCTGGGTTTCCACTCCTCGCCGTCCCTGTAGACCAGCCCCTTCCAGGCGCAGGACTCTGACACACACCGGGAAAAACCGCTTGAGTGAACCGTTAAGATGGATGTCATGGAACGAGCTGGCTCTTAAAAGCAATGTTCGCTCAGTCATTAAGGAAGAAAAGAATATTTAATAATTAGCTGCGGTCTGCTGGGATGTATTCCAGCTGCTCCAAGAATTTATTTAATCTAATGGTAATCTCAAGAGTCGACGCTGCAGCTGTGTGCGTTTTAAAAAAACACCGTCATATCCAAAAGATGGGAAGGCCGAAGAAGCACATATTATTTTTTTCTAAGAAATTATATACAACTCCTCCTAGACATCAACAAAATGCCACGCAGATTATGTTGTGTATAAAAAGCAAATTTACAACCTCGTCAAATTATAGATCTACATCTGTAAGACTCACTGAGTTATAGCCGTTGTTGCAGATCGGTTGACTGCAGCAGCCATCACCACAAGCCCTCATACAAATTTATTTATTTTTATAATCTGCAAATGTGACCCATGCTGGCAAAATGAGTCTGAATGAGCACGAGCTGCAGAGCAAAAACGTGAAACTATTGCTTGTTGCCATAGTTTAAGTTTAATGAGTCCATAAAGACATCATCTAATGATCCAAGTAACTAAAATAACATTTATTCTTCCTAATCTGTCTTTATAGCAAAGTCTTCTAACACATATTGTATGTCTTTAGAAATATTCCTTTCAACTCAAATCCTTTAATTTATTTTGAAATTGACTGTTTTTCGATTTTTTTTTGACTGGGATGTTGGTTAGTCAGATGAATAAATTAATAGATGGTTGGCTGGTCTGTCAGTCGGTTGGATTGGTTGGTGGTGTTGGTCAGATGGAAGGATATTTGGGTATATGGATGGGTGATTAGTTGATTGGCTGGTCTGTCGATTGCACGGATTGATGGATGGGTGGTTGAGGGTTGGTCAGTTAGTTGGTAGGTTGAATAATTCAATGGGTAAGTAAGTAAGTAAACTTTATTTATATAGCACTTATCATAGATACAATCACAAAGTGCTGTACAACAATGGGCAGTCGGTTGAGTAACTGAATGGATGGTTGGTTGGTTGGTTGGTTGGATGGTCGATCCGTTGGTCATTTGGATGGATGGGCTATTTGGTGGGTTGGTCGGATGGAAGAATATTTAGATGGATGGATGGATGTAGGTTACTTGTTTAGTTGGTTAATGGGTTTGTGGGTTGAATAATTGAAAGGATGGATAATTGGCGAGTTAGTCTGTTGGT